ATATTTTGACTCTCATGAACTTGTTTTCATTTTCTTCATCCTGAACTTGCTTATGAGTAAATTGATGGTTTGTCCCACAGTCAGCTCCTGGCCATGTTTTGTCTGATGTTATTGAGACATTTTTAAGACATTATTGCTCAGTGGTGGCTCTTAAAAATGTCTGCAAATACTCCTGAAGAAAATGGACCATTTTCTGGAAAACATTCCCAGACCTGTTTCCTGGCGGCTGCATTTTGAATTGCAGCGTTTTGCTGGCTCTTCCTTTGCCGTCTTGCCATGCGTGAGAAAATCTGTGTAGGAAGCAGAGCTGTGCAGACCAGATAGGAATGCAGCTGCATTGTGTTCAGGGACATCAGAGCTGTACACAGCTCATGAGCATGTAAATATATTGAAATATTTCATTTGCATGTATCAGGTTGAAGTTTTAGCACCTGGGGTTGTGATGTGTTTTAATTAAAGATTAGTTAGAAGTGATGGCAGTTTCACTTGCATGGTATATATAACATTTCCTGTGTGTGGCAGCCCCTGGTGGGTGTTTGTGAAAGGGCTATTCTGTTCAAAGCCATGTGGGACTAAGCAAGTTTGGTTGCTTACACAGGGACTTATCTAGAACTCGGTGTCTATGAGCAGGGTGTGCCCCCAATGTCCCTTCATTGCCTCGTGGTGGGAAGCCCAGTGTTGGTTACCCAAGGAAACAATAATAAAAGATGATGCTCAGGCAACCACAGCTCCAGCCATCGTATTGTTGTTGTTGTTGTTAAGTGCCATCGAGTCGGTTCCTACTCATAGCGATCCTGTATAGGGTTTCCAAAGAGCAGCTGGTAAGTGTAAACCGCTGACCTTGTGGTTTTTGAGATATTTGAGAAGACAGTCTGAGGCCATGCTTGGCTATATTCGACCTTGCGGTTTGATAGTTTACATGCGAGAACATCAGTTTTACATTCATCCTATCGTATTTCATTTCATTGCAATGATTACTATCTTCTCCATGCATCATCATTCAACAGTATTTGCTTCTGTTCCGTCTGTTTTATTTGGATGTACACAAAAACACACAGGAATATATAATTATTTAAACAACCAAAGGGCTTATTCTGCAAGCCTAGCAGGATAATTTTTAAGTTGATAATTTTGTATGGCCTGCAAATGATGTTATAAATTTTGACAGAAAAATGGTTCCCCACCCCTGGGTTAGGAGCTCTGGTAGCATAGTGGTCACAAGTTGGGCTGCTGACCTCAAGGTCAGTAGTTCGAAACTACCAGCTGTTCCACAGGAGAAAAATTAGGCTTTCTGCTCCCATAAAGATTTACAGCTTCAGAAACAGGGTCTCTATGAGTCAGAACTGACTCCACGGCACGACTCCACCACCACCACTCCTGGGTTAGGAGGGTGGGGAGGGGAGATCTTTAACAAGGAGCAAGTGCAGGATAATATCCAAAGTTTATGTAGCTGAGCAGTCAGAGGCACTGGGAGCATCGCTCTGTGGGCTGGACAGTCAGAGCCTTTGTGTGGCCCATGGTTGAAAGTTGAAGTTTTCAGCTGGTTCTTCCTGTAGATAACATAAGATTGTCAAAGAATGGGCTCTCCAAATGGGCGCCCACTGTCTCCTTGATAAAAAGCGATTTTCATTTAGTCTTTTCAAAAAGAGGGACTAGGACAGCCTGAAGTGATGTGTGCACCTGGTGTGAGGTGTTGGAGAAGTACAGATTGCCAGGAGTTAGGGACAGGTGTCTCTGCAGCCCTGGGTCAAAGGCCAGAGTGGCCACAGGGCTACTTACTGCATGCTAATACCAAGTTGAGGCAGGCAGAGATGTGCTTTTAGGAAGAATTAGGGCTGATGTTGAGTGATATTTGAGAAGACAGTCTGAGGCCATGCTTGGCTATATTCAGCCTCACTTGGGTATCTCCCATTCCATGTACAGGTTATAGAAAATACAGGAAAACACACAATAAGGAAAAATCACCTTTATTCTGCTAGAGAAGTGCTTGGTTCTGCTTTCTGGGCTAATGTCTGTCTGGTTTCTGCCCTTGTTCCTGCTTCTCTCACCGCTCATGCCCCTGTCCCCCACATCTCATTATGTGCCTGACATGTCAACAAAATAATGGTCCCCAAAGATGTTCATGTCCTAATCCCTGGAACCTGTGAGTATTGTGCTTTACATGCAGAGGGGAATCGAGGTTGCTAATCAGCTCACATTAAAATCAGAAGATTGTCATTAAAAAAGACCAGGCTTACTGGTCACATGGAGACTGGTGGGATCTCAAGACTTCGGCCCTTGGTCACTGTGTCGTAGAGAATGATTTAATGTCTCTTCTAGCCTTAGTCTTAGTAATTCCCACCAAAGACTGTTTTGCTGATAGATATGGGTAAGACGGTGGGAGAAGATACTGGTAGGATGATAGCATTCAGCTGTGGATGTTAACAGCATTCATTGTAATGTAAAAACTTGAAACTCAAGCATGGATTTAAGATGAGTTGTCTCAGAAGCAGGAAGGGGATCTCACTACCATCAAGAGGAAGAGCCAGGAGTGGAGTGCATCCTTTGGACCCAGAAATCCCTTTGCATTGAGCTTCCTGGAGCTAGAGACCAGAAGCTGTGGCACCAAAGGAGTGACAGAGGAGCAGCAGCAACAGAACCAAGACCCAGAACTTCCCAGCCCACGGAGCAAAGAAAGCTGATTATTTGGGGCAGGAGAATTGCTTGCAGAGTGGATACCTCCAGGCACTTAATTAGGGGGCTAGATTTGCTGACCCACAGAGCTAGAGCTAAGTGCTTATGGTGGAGTGGAGCGCCCGTGGGCATTTCAGCCCTCAAAGCACTCTGTAACACTGGCCAGGCAGAGAAAGACTTGCCTAAGAAGAGGCTGTCCTAACTGGAAAACTGTCCCTTAGCGTTTCTGCCCTGTATTGTAACCTGGTGTGTTGTAACCTGGTGTGGTGAAACCAACTCCAAGGCACTTAACAATAACAGCAACAACTTCCCTAATAAGCCCCATAACTGTGAGTGTGGTCACCGCAACCAATTATCAAGCTCAGGTGAGTAGAGAGTGCCGTGGAAACGATGGTTGGTGTCTGTTTTTGTTTGTTTGCAGTCACCCTTCAGGTCTAGAACTGAACTTACCTGCCATGACTCAGTTTTCAGCCAAGTAATATATATATATATATCAACACTAGTGAGGTCCATATACCATAGATTGGTCTACCATTCAAGATCAAAAGGACAGCAATTACCCAAAGACAAAGTTCAGCAGAGTTGGACAAGAAAAAAGGATGAAAACAGGAAATGCATGGAGAAAGTGGGATAAGTGATGTTACATGGAGAGGACTACCGTCATCGAGGGAAAGCCAAGTGTATGATTTGTTGAATGTAAAACTGATGATCCTGTTCTGTAAACCTTCACTCAATTCACAATAAAAGGGGGAAAAAAAGAGTTTGTCCTGGATTACTGGATGGACCCAACATGGTTACAAGGTCCTTAACAGTGTGAAAGGGAGGCAGAAGAGGAGGTCAAGGTGGTGTGATATAAAAAAGGACTCTGCCTGCTGTTGCTGGCTCCAGAGATAGCAGGCCACAAGCCAAGGAATGCAGGCAGCCTCTAAAAGCTGGAAAGACAAAGAAATGGAGCCTCCAGAAAGGAACGCATCCCTACCAATATCTTGATTTTAGCCTAGTAAGATCGTGTGTCAAGAACTACCAGAGAATAAATTTGTGTTGTTGTAAGCCTCCAAATCTGTGGTAATTTGTTATAGTAAAAATAGGACACTAAAGCATGTTAACGGAAGTCCCTAAAGATATGATTGTTGGTTGCTTTATGACATTATTTATGGATATACCATGATTGTATGTTTTAGCTTTTGATAGTGTGGTCACTGTAAATGCTGTGCATGCTCATTGTATCCTGGGCTCCGGTGTGCACATCTAGGCCCCTCTGTGACCGTTGAGTCCATTCTGCCGGAGACATGAACCAAGTGTGCCGGTTCTGCTTGTGTCATCTTGTTTTTCTCTGTTACTTGTTCAAGCTTTGATTGAGTACGTGAAATCTTGGCAAGGTTTGGGTGCTGCTCTGCGTCAGGTAAGTGTCAGCTTTGGGATCAGACCTTGGATAGTTCAGACTTTGAATATGTGTTACATCTTTACTAGATGCTGAATGAGTATTTCTAAGGAATTTCTTACAAGGATGTTTCCTGAGTTATTTCCCTTTGACTAGGGAGTTTTTCCACATAAAGGTTAATCTGTAAGGAGACAATTGATTACATATATGATTATATCATTATATATATATAATGACTGTGAATATATTTATGAGGTGATGAAACTGAAATTTTATTTGGACACATTTGTCAGTAGTGAACATCATATTTTGTCACATGTAATGCACCATGTAAATAACATACACATGTGTATAATGTGCAGAAGTGGGTTGTATGATTTGCAAAAAGTTTAACCCATGTGTTATTTGTATAAAAATATAGTCGTTGATAATAATGTGAGAGCCTGCTTCCAAGAAAATGCTATACACTTTGCTCCCCTCACCTCCCTCCCCCAAATTCAGAACTACATATCTCCGTCGTCACCTTCTTCGCTCACTCCCAATCTCCATTTGGTTAGGACCCTGCCCCTACATCTATTTGGGCCAGACCCTCTTTGCCTCCCACCCTGCACTTTCTGGCTCACACACATTCTTGGGAGCTTTCTAGTCAGCTTTCTACCCTACTCACCCCTGCAGTGGCTTAACTAGAGACTAAGGCCATCCTCCTAACAGTGAGGCCCACCCTAGTAGCCCTCTGTAACTTTTTGTGCTCTTTCTCTGCCTCTCTCTTTCCCCTTCACTGGTGTAGCTCTCCCTGTACGGCTGTCCTACTGTGATACCTGGGATGGATTACTCAGTGTCTGTTCCCAAACTTGGTGATCAGTGAAATAGTCCTTGCCCCATGCCAAGGCCAATGTTTTTGTTTTGCTCCAGAAAAAGCACTGATTTGTTCATCTCTCTGATCTAGTGTTAAGCGTTCGTGGCATTCAGGAAGAGGACCCGCCGGACGCTCAGCTCATGAGACTAGATAACATGCTGCTGGCTGAGGGCGTCTCCAGGCCGGAGAGGAGAGAAAGAAGAGGACCGGTGGTGGCCGGCACAGCGACACCAGGTGGCTGTCCAAATGACAATAGCATTGAGCACTCTGACTACAGGGCCAAGCTGTCCCAGATCCGACAGATATACCACTCTGAGCTAGAGAAATATGAACAGGTGATCTTTCTGCATGGAAGAGTTTCTATCATGTGAATGCACATTTGTCAAAGCGAACCGTGGAACAACTAACCGCCTTTCTTTTATGGCACAGAGCAGGGAGTACATGTAATGGTCTAACTGCAGAAGTGGCCGATCTTACTGAAAGCCCTTTTCCTTTACTTCCCAGCTTGTGTGTGAACCACCAGGGGGCGGGCAGGTGGCTGGTCTGGCGTGGAGCTACTGCCCCACGCCACCCTGCTGGTTGGTCAAGAGCTGGCTATTTGTGTCCCCACCCCAGGCCTGCCGAGAGTTCACCACGCATGTCACCAACCTCCTCCGAGAACAGAGCAGGATGCGACCCGTCTCCCCCAAGGAGATCGAGCGCATGGTCGGCATCATCCACAGCAAGTTCAGCGCCATTCAAATGCAGCTGAAGCAGAGTACCTGTGAGGCCGTGATGACCCTGCGCTCACGGTTCCTGGATGCCAGGTCAGGCCCTCAGGAAGATGAATGAAATGGGATAGTGCTGAGGCCTGGCAGCAAATGTGTAGACCTTATGCCTCCAGAAGGTGTTCAGAAGTGTTGGTTGCTTCTGGGAGGTGGGGGGACACTGTTAAAGTCCTAGCATGTGAACACTGGCTGGGCCATCTGTCTTTGCAGGCGTAAGCGACGGAATTTCAGCAAACAGGCCACAGAAGTGCTGAATGAGTATTTTTATTCTCATTTGAGCAACCCTTATCCCAGTGAAGAAGCCAAAGAAGAGTTGGCCAGAAAGGGTGGCATCACAGTCTCCCAGGTGATGGTCCTCCCTGCCATGCCCCCCTTTTTCCAGCTGTACCTGGGAGGGAAGGACACTTAGATCCAATGAGGACATCTTGTTGTTAAGTGCCATCAAGTTGGTTCTGGCTCACAGCGACCCTGTTAAGGGTTTCTGAGGAGCAACTGGTGGGTTTGAACCACCAACCTTATAGTTCAAACCAGCCCTGCAGTCCAGTGCATTAGCCATTAAGGACACCTAGGGATTCATTAAATATGTAAATGGATAGAGTAGGAGACTGGGCTCAGCTCCTGACACAGAACTCAGTGAGTTCTGTGGGCACCAATATGTGCTCTCCCGCCATCTGTGATACAGGGATGGGGCCAAGTGCCTAGACCAGGAGGCAGTCCTTCAGGTAATGTGTGTATGTGTGAGGACAGACCCCCCTGAGGAGATGCACATGGAGTATGACTCCACCGGAGTTTGGAGCATGAGGGCTTCCGGAGCACGTGTGTGTGAAATGTGAAGACCCTCTAAAGGGCTGCATTGTACTCCACAAGTCAGTTCCCACTCGCAGAAGCTATATAGGATGCAGCAGAACTGCCCCATAGGTTCCAAGGCTGTAAGGGAGTCTTGGGGTGGTACTGTAGGATAAACACTAGACCACAAGGTCGATTTGAACCTCAAGGTGGCGGTTCAAACCCACCAGCAGCTCCTTGGAAACCCTACACAGGGGTCACTGTAAGTTGAAACTGACTCAATGACAGTTAATAATAGCAATGGCCTATATGGAAGTAGACTGCTGCCTTTCTGCTGTGGAGCAACTGGGGGGTTCAAACCACTGACCTTTCTTTTAGTAGCCAACCACCTAGGTGGTTAAGATTTGGGGTGTGGATGTATATCAGATGTGAGGTTTCCATAAGAGAGGCTCTCAACATTGCTGAAAGGTGAGTCCATGATGGGGCTAGAGCTACAGCTGGTGTTGCCAGAAGGCCCAGGGCAGCTAGTCATTGACTGACTGGGGCTCCAGCCCAGTGCGCAGTGCATCTGAGACAGGCAGGCCTAGGGCATTCTGCCCTGGGCAGCACTTCACTTCTTGGAGAACGTGTACAATCACAGCTCTTCCCAGGTGGCCCTGAGGCTTAGGTCAATCACCTGGGGGAGGTATGCTTGTCTCAGTGCTTACACACTCCCACTACCCACCAGTATGCGTCCTTGTGATCACGTGGTAGGCATTGGACTCACTCGCATTCTTTCCTTAGATTGGGTTCCCAGAAGTGGGTTCTTAGAAGCAGGTCCAGAATTTCAGTGGTTGTCTGCCTCCATAAGGAGTGAATGGCCATTTGTCATTCATGTGTCCTTCCAGCTCCTTTCCCATTCCTGGTTCCAGCAGCACCTGTTCTCTGAGACCACAGTTTGTCCCTGCCTTGTAGAACACGCCAACCCCAGGGTGTCCTCAGTGACCCAATGTGGACATGTCCCGGACCTAGCCAGGCTGAGGGTTGTTGCTGAGAGTGTGCCCCTCGGCCAGTAGGAATAACAGGCACTTTGAGGGGAGCCCTTGGTGGGTGCACCTCCATTCCTGCCTCATCAAGTCAGCTCTTCCAGTGACCATGTATGCCCACAGGTCTCCAATTGGTTTGGCAACAAAAGAATCCGGTATAAAAAGAACATGGGGAAGTTTCAAGAAGAGGCTAGCATTTACGTGTCTAAAACAACAGTGGATGTCACCAAAGTCGGGATCCCAGGACACCAAGCCAGTTGCCCCTTAACACCCAACTCTGGTGAGTGAGAACCCCCTTACCCTGCTGGCACAGCCCCCTGGCTGTTTCCTGCACAAGCCTCTGTTCATCTTGGTGTGAAGACTTGGTGTTGGCCCTATGGGGACAGGAGTATCAGTGCTGAAAAGGAGGGGACCTTCTGGGCAGTGGGAAGTGACAGATGACAGGACCCTGCCCACCAACCTGATTAGCTAGACCTGCTCTATCAGAACTGTGCAGAGGTACAGACCAGGTTACATCTGCGAAGTGGTAATATTTGTCCTGACGCTGTCACTGTCCCAGGCTCCTCTGGCTCCTTCTCGCTGACCAGTACTGGGGATGCCTTTGTGAGCCTGCAGGCACTGGCCTCCGACCAGCCCCTCAAGATGGGACCCAGCTCACAGTCACAGGTGAGTCAGTCACAGGTGAGCCTCAGAGCCAGGTGAGTCAAAAGCACAGTCCTTAGCCACCTCGCCTCCCTCAGGAGGCTTGCAGAGAATAGTGGTACAGTTCCTGGGCAGGGTCTGTGGTTTGATAACTGCTACCATTGGGCAGCTCAGAGGGACCCCAACTCTGTAAGACCTGTTGTCCTCTCCCATCCCTCCTGCCAGAGATGTCTGCTCTCTGTCGTTTCTGAGCAAAGGAGTTGTTTTGGTAGGAGCAGTATTGGGGAGGGGGGGCGCGGCAGGATTTGGCAGGAGGAGCCATATTTGATACCAGCTCCCTGGAGGAGGATCTGAGCCTCAAGGTTACACTCATGACAGCCCTGTCCCCGGCCAGTTACAAGGGCTGGGAGGGCCACGGATGCTGGGGATGCCTTGGGAGCCCAGCATGGCCAAAACAGAAACTCATAAGGTGGTGGGTATGTCCTTCTGGGACATTTTTGAGAGGATGCTGGGCGGTAGGCCAGGCAGGCCAGGGCCTCACAATCTCCGTAGCTCCCAACTGCCTTTGCTGTGAGGAAGACTGGGAGTGAGTATGGGGTTCAAATGTTGACTAGAGGGCCAGGTGGGGACTCCATGTGGAATTTCCTGAAGATGATGCACAGCCACAGGTGTGGCTTACCCATGGGAGGTCTGATCTTTCTGGAGAACAGGCATGTGCGAAGGTCTGGCCTGCATGTGACTGGGCAGACTTCCTGAGTCAGACCATGTGAGTCTCACTGTCTCTGTGCTATAGACCAGACATGGAAGCTCTCTTCAGAAGACACTCTTCATGCCCTCTCAGCAGCCCCAGCGGTGCCCCCAGGGACTGCTGCTGAAGGCCCAGCTTTGCTTCCAGGGATGCATACCCACGTCACAGTGTCAAGCGGCAGGCTTGGATATGAGCCCAGAACTGCTTGGATGTAGGGACGAGGGTTGGGCAGGCCAGCAATCACCATAGCCGCGCCATCCCGACGCTGCCAATGTTTCTTTCTAGGCCAGGGGCAGCTGGCAAGGGGCCACGCCCCCACTGTCTATCACGTCACCTGCTGGAGACCCAGGAAGTACCCACTCGGACGCATCCAATTAAGTTTTGAAGCCAGCACAGGAGAGCGTCTGTGCAGTCTGTCAGGGTTCTGGCGCTGTCCCCACTTCGCGTGTAGCTGATTACCTCAAGCCCAGGCCAGCAAAGGGTGGCCGCCCCCTCCACCTCAGCCTGTCCTGGTCTTCGTCCTCGTCCTCGTCTGTCCTTTTTCATCTTGGCCCACATGAAGTGGGCTGAGGCACTGCTCCTTTTCCAATGTGGTTCATTTTTAAAAGATTACCAACTTTATGGTAAGACTATGAGTTGTTCCCTCTAGGACTTGTCACATTTTTCTCATTAAACTTTTTGACTGACTTTGATTTTGATGTGTTTTTACTACCAGAGCTGCTCTGGCATGGTTGGTGTATACGCCCAACACAGCAGCTGGAATGCATCTGTTCATTCCCAGGGTACCACGCACGCCAAGAACACTGGTTTCACAATCTTCTGACTTAAAACCTACCACTAGAAGCTCAGGATTTTACTGTCTCTGGTTTTCCTGTTTGTTTGTTTGTTTA